GCAAAATTTCATGCTAGTAGTTTGCAAGCATTATGACGCTCTTAGATGAATGAGGAATAGGGATGAGTAAAATGAATTAGATGATTCTGATGTTGCTGTTCTGAAACGCTCATGCAACACGCAAAGGGAAAGATCCAGATAGGGGAAAGCGGCTGTCACGAATATGTGAAATCCCCAAGTGGGGGTCCCGGTACAAAACCATATTTGAAAAAAAACCTTCAGGGCTTGTATAAGAAAACTTTCTATCTCAATGAAATCAACGGAGTTTTGTGATAACCAGTTCATAAGATTGATGTAGCGCAACCTAGAACGCCCTGTGCGAGGTCAGCAGTCAGCACAGTCAATTAAGTGAGGTCACCCGCAGGCGATCGCTAGGAGGCATAAGGTGGCAGGTGCGAAGTGTTGATTAAGAGGTCATTTTAGACTAAAGTCCCTCTCCCGTGCTGACCCAACTCCAACAGACTCTTTATAGAGGATATATTGATATTGGTAATAAATTCATTTATACAGTAGCGGTTGGAGGAAACAAAATATCAGAAAAAATGGATAAAAATGGGAGCTCAAAAATAACTAATTTTTAGCTAACAGCACTCGCAGTGCAAGCCGTTTTCCACGCAGAACAGCTACGAAAGGTGAAACTCCAGTTTGGGGGGGGGGGCACTCCATTGTTTCTCCAATGCTCAAGATAAGGATGAGAGCACTCATGACACGTAATCGACTCATTTAAGTATACTTCTGATAAGTATCGGTGTAATGTGGAAGAAACCCAAGATGTCTTTCACATTTCCGCCTGCCATGGTCCAAGGAAACGGTCCTGGACCAGGAGAATGGACACCTCTGCTAGGGGTGGAGGAGCTCCAGGGTGGACCTGTGCAGAAAAGTGGATAGGGATGTGGGCAGGTAGTGTGGAATGTAGGACATCCACCGGTCCTTATCAAAAGTACGCTCGAAATGAGTCGTTCACTTATTATCTTATCATAGTGTTGGATAGCACAAATGAATGCTCTCTAGTACTACGGATAAGTTAGCAATGGAGTGGCCCCCCGAACTGAAGTTTCACCTTACGAAATTAAAAGTTTCGCCTAACTTCCCTACAGGCAAACTAATTTATGAAAGTGTGTTGCCAAAACGGCGCATCTCAAGAAGAAATAGAACGACTTTGCAGTAGGATGTCGAGAAATGTCACTAATACATCTGTATAATCTGAATTTTTTGTTAACTATGCTAAAAAATTTGTATAAATTAAACTTTGGTTTGTTTCCGTGAATATAATAAAGATAGACTTGATAATCAATACTGCGCATGAGAGCGATATGTTGGAGCGAGGTCAGCACTCAGCACACCTAATTAAGCAAGGTCCACCCAGAGGCAGGTTACAGGGTGGTGCGAGATAACCACGGCGAGGAGGGGGAGAGGGAACGTTAGTCAGGATTGACCTTTCACACCTACTCGCTGTCGTTACCTCGCACCACCCTCTCACCTGCCTTGCCTTAATTAGCTGTGCTGAGCGCTGACCTCGCTCCAACAAATCGCTCTCATGAGCAGTATTGATTATCAAGTCTATATTTTTTCAGAGATATGAGAGTAAAGAAAATACAACTCTGAAAATTCAGCTACAGGGGACGTGCTAATTTCCTATTCGGATTCATTCTGCTGGAGAATTTCCTTGAGCAAAGTACCAATATAACGCTATTTTTTAACCTTGCGATAATTTAGAAATTATCGCAGCGTTGCCCATTAGCTTTCCTAATACCTTTTTCCCCTATCACTTGTCTTTCCAAAATTGCCATCGTATTCTTGAACTACGAGTGATTCACGAAAAGAGTGCGCTACGACGTTCAGTGAATATCAGTTTTTTTTTCATTTACCTATGGGATTTGGATTAATTTATAGAGAAAATTAACTAACGATTAGCTTAGCTTTGGAGGAACTATGCTTCGATGGCTCAGCGCGCAATTTAACCTTTGTTGCGGTAGCGTTGGGAATTTTCAATTTCAGACCTTCCTCTTCCTTACAATCCTCCTTGCGCCAAAAGGTAGAAGATACTGGTAGACTTTATGCGACCGTGGCTGCAAGGCATGTTGACAGTGAAACGCCGTTGAATTTTGAAACCAAATTCAACCAATTTACGAGATCAGTGTGAAACGACATTCAATGATCATATTAAGTTTTCTTTCAACATTCGTTGGGAGAGCGTTGGGGAATTTCCATTTTAGGTACTATCTTCCCCCTCCTTGCAATCATTTCTAAACCCGAACTAGGGGACAATAAGAGACAGTTTGGGGTGTAGAAAGCGATCGTGGTTGCAATACAACACACTGTTGAACCATGAACTTACATTTAGCACTTCGAACGGGCTTAGCTTCCTTAGCTTTTCACAAATTGGTCAACTTTGTATGAATTTGAATTTGCAAATTTTCTGTTTCTAAAATCTGAAATCGCTAATTTACTCGATTGTCGAAAGCGTTTCTGATGTAAAATGGACCAACAAAATTTCAAAGCAATCCGAAAAAAACGACACTTTCTTTACATCTTTCAATCTCTGCTATCTTTAAACCCTGCACAATGGGATAATGAGGTTAGAATGACCTAGTGTTTGCTTTGTTATAAGCCAGAACTATTTCATGAAGTCGCTTATCTGAAAAATCTTGAGAGTTTTTCGCTCACTTTCCTCGCTCTTGCATCTGCTGGGAATTACTAGATTGAGCTTTGAAATTTAGAAATCAGATTCCTAAAATTAAAATTCAGCTGCTTTACTTAAACTAATTTTGTGTTGATGACTTCTTGAGCGAACAATATTCTGTATGAGATGAATTTACAGGGTTGAGGTCAGCAGTCAGCGCAGTCAATTAAGCGGTGTCTATCCAATGGCAAGTGAGAGCAGGTGTGAGGCAACGACAGCGAAGAGGTGTGAAAGGTCAATCCTGACTAAAGGTGCACACCCGCGAGGAGGTGTGAAAGGTCAATCCTGACTAAGTTCCCTCTCCCACCTACAAGTCACCTAGTCAATCCCCCCCCCCGCAGTAATTAGCGAGAAATCTCACTCCACAGGATGAGATTGGGGAGCGCAACTCATTGAAGGATCGTAGGGTACTGAGCTGATTGTAAAGTCGAATTATGTCATATTATCAAAAATGAGACAGAGCACAAATTAGGCTGCATCAAAATCCCGCTCAGATTTGTGATGTTGTGAATGTTTGAAAGTCGATGGGGAATCATTGCTGAATCTGCTGTCAATGAGATGATGGAACTGTAAAGAGTTCCCTAATATCGCCGTGGTTTTCCTTCCTAAACGATAATCATCATGAAGCGCCACCCCCCCCCCTGTACTCTAAAATGAATAAAAATGGTGAAATAAGGGTGGATGGATCTCCAACACTCAGCACATTCAACGGAGCTGATCCAATATGCAGTTTGTTTAGCTTACCGTAATGACTCACTTAAATTAACTTGAGGGCATCAGAAAGTTGTGTACTAGAAAATGGCTCAAAGTAGAGCAATTCCTTCTATAAGCGGTAAAGAAAGAATAGAAAAACAGGGTTGATTGGATGTCAAAAGGTAGTTGGCCGGATTCAATGTCTGTACTGATGCCCCTCAACGTAAACTCGCAGAATCAAGGAATTAGGTGAACAAATGAATTGTGAGGCCAAGTCATGGGCGCAGCGGAGGTGGCAACCACGACCTGCGTGCCGGAGTGGCAATGTGACCGCGAAGGGACTGCAAACGAACAAGTTCAATGTGGATGACCTTTTAGATGGGTAAATGTAATAAAGTTTACGATTTACACAATCGACACTAGCCTAGGATGAGTCTGACAAGGGAGGTCAGCAGTCAGCGGGCCGCAATTAAGCGAGGTTTCCCCACAGGCAGGTGAGTGGAGGTGCGAACAAGTCTTGCCACAGTTGCAGTTGCTTCTCAAGTTGTCGACCTTATTCGGAGGGACCGTTCTGGGCTCACCGTGTCAATATCGAATGCAATTATATTAGGTCAACTCATTCAAACATGTCCAGACATCTAGAGAAATGGTGGGAAAAGTAAAAGAGCTAGAGCATTCTACTTGCTTTTGCTTTTAAGCTAGCACACCCAGCTACGGTATACCCTAATTTAGTTTATAGTGCCGCAGGAGGAAACACTTAAACACATAAAAGAATTCATAGTGACCCAAATCGAGGTGGAATTTCCAGATGACTGGTGACACACGTAAAATTCGCAACTCGAATTCTGTGTGTGCTGGCTCAACTTACGCGTGATACAGTGTTCTCGAAGTGCTACGTTGAAGATATGGTGTGAGAGCTCAAAGAAGGGAGAACGGAAGCGAGTTGTGGTTGAGGACGCGTTCATATTGTCCACCTTGCCCAAGAAGAGCGGGTGGATGAAATGAGGTTTCAAATGGCGCATCACAGATGTTGAACCTTTGCGATGTTTGCCCACGAGACTTGCAGTCTAGCTGCACCTGTTACGCAAATTGTGCCCAAAAAATTGGGGATGGTCCACAGAACATGTTTTTGGATATCCATTTACTCCCAGATGCAGGAGTCCAGAATCGAATTGGTGTCTGTAGCAATGATTTTCTCTGCCGATAGCGGCATTTAAGACTATCAAACTGGGCCCTGCTCATAAACGAAATGTGTGTACTTGTATGCTGAGGCCCAAGTCAGGAGTTTCAACTTTGGATCA